TCAATACCCAGCAACCACATGGTGGCTCACAACCACCTATAATGAGATCAGGCATACATGCAGGCAGAATGCTGTAAAGAAAAGAAAGAAAACAAAATGTACTTGGGAAAGAAAGGCAGATAGATCATTGTGTGTTCCAGACCAATGTGGTCTACATAGTTCCAGGCCAGCCAGAGTTATATAGTGAGATCCTGTCTCAGAAAAATAAAATATAAGTAAATAAATAAATAAATAAAAGTTGGGTTGGACACAGCTCAGACAATTCTGCAAAAATAACATGTGCTATACTCAGGAGGTAGAGGAGGAAGCTCAGAAGTTCAATGCCGGAGCTGGAGAAATGGCTTAGCAGTTAAAAGCACTGACTGCTCACTCAGCTTCAATTCCCAGCACCCACATGACAGCTCACAGCTGTCTGGAATCCTGTTCCAGGGGATCTGATTCCCCCATCCAGACATACTTGCAGGCAAAACACCAATGTATATAAAATAAAAATAAACAAATTATATTAAAAGAAAGCAGTTCAATGTCACCCTTATATAGGTAAGGAGTTCAAGGCCAGCCTGAGCTAGAAACCCTTTTTCCAAAAAAGAAAGGAGAAAAAAGAGGGGGGGTCAGGTAGGCTGGTTCAGCAGGTAAAGGTCTGGCCACCAAGTATGGCAACCTGAGGACACACAGGATGGAAGGAGAAAACTTCCTTCCAGGTGGCATTCTCTATGACAGACAACTGCTAACCTTCACAGAGGAAATGAATAAATAAATGTAAAAGGAAGGAAGGAGGGAAAGAAGAAAGGCAGGTAGGTCAAGGAAATCATCTTCAAAGGCTGTACTTCTTCTCTTGTCCCTGAGGCCTCAGGTTCAGGACCGCCCAGTTAGGCTAGCCGGCTCCTGGCTCCTCAGACTTCTCCTTTCCCCAAGCCCACAGCAAATCTGATCCCATTATCTCCAACTCCACACCCTACACTGGTTCTGGTTGAACCCCTTATCAAAACCTACGCCCTGCCCTTCAAGTATTGTCTCTTTCCCCAGCGTGGGTCCCTGGCGGCCACTCCCAGTCAATGGCAACTCAGCCAGAATCACATTCCTTCTCCACCTGCAGGCCTCTTAGGGTGCTCCTCTCCTTGGAGAGTTCTCCCCACTCCCCACCTTGGTGAGTTCTAGGAACCCACCCCTCCCAGCTTCGCTCAGTCCCCTAGAGGAAGGCATACTCCCCTCCCAATGGGCCTCCTGAGAAACCCGGATTCCCCAAACAGTAGAACTTCCCAGGGCAAACCCCTACACACAACCACCAAGAGGAAGGTCATTCTCCAGGAGGGTGGGACAGCCCTGGAGCAGAAGCTATCATCTTCCAGATTGGTCCCTCAGGGATGCCACCGAAGGAAGATTAGCAATTTACAGGATTTCCGACAGTGCTGGGTTTAAGACCGCATCTTAATCAGGGTTGTGTAATCATGCATTCTTGTTCTCTATTTAAACCTAAAGTGCACGTCAGTACCCCAAGACAGACAGGTCAGTGGACTCCTTTATATTCTTCTTCCCAACTTGGTCCTATTGAATAAATCTCTCTCTGTATTTTACTTGTCTCTTTAATTGACTCACTAAGACCCTTGAGGCAAAGTGTGGCTAATGGCTCTGCCCAAAAAACTTTGTTTTGCTTTTTGTTTTTGACACAAGGTTTCAATATGTTACTCAAACTGGTCTTGGATTGGAGGTTCCCATGCTTCAGTTTTCCAAAGGCTGGAATTACAGGCGTGCACCTGGTAAAATTCATTTTATTTTAAATCTATTTATGTATATGAAGGTTTTGCTTCCATGTATATATGTGCATCACAGGTATAGCTGGTGCCCATAGAAGTCAGAAGAGGGTGTCTGAACCCCAAAAACTGGAGGTAGAGATAGTTGTGAGCCCCCACGTGGGTACTAGGAACCAAACCTAGATCCTCTACAAGAGCAACAAGTGTTCTTAATCACTGAATCATTTCTGTAGGCCCTTTTTTTACTTTTTGAGACAGGTCTCATTGTATTCCAGGCTAGCTTTAAACTTACTACGTAGATAAGTTTAAGACGACCTTAAACTTAAGGTCCTCCTGCCTCTACCTCACAAATCCTGCGATTATAGGCATGCACCCTAAGGCTGTGCCCGGTTTTATGTGGTATTGGGAACTGAAACCAGGAACCACTCTACCAGCTGAGCTTCATCTTAAGCCCCCTGGCCTGCTGAGAAAATGTTTTGCTTGTGTTGAGACAGGGTATCTGTAGCGTTGGCTGGCCTGGAACTTGTCATGTAAACCAAGCTGGCCTGAAACTCATAGAGACTTGACTGCTTCTGCCTCCAGAGTATTGGGATTAAAGTAAAGACTTGCACTACCACTCCTGGAAAAAAACTTTGATACCTATTATTTTTTATACTTTCAGTCATTTAAAAACACACAAAAGTTTCTACTTTTTACCCACCTTTTTTCTCCTTTCTTCCTTCTCTTTCTCTCTCTCTCCCTCCCTCCCAACCTCTCTCCCTCCCTCTCTTTCTCCCTCTCTCTCCCTTTCTCTCTTTTCAAGACAAGGTCAAACTCCACATCTCTGGCTATCCTGGAAATTACTTTATGGAGCTGGTTGCCCTTGAACTCACAGAGATCCACCAGCCTCTTCCTCACAAGCGCTGGAATTAAAGGTGTGCCCAAGCCCAGCTCGTTTGTTTTTGTTTTTAGTTTGTTTGTTTTCAAGACAAGGTTTCTCTGTGTTGCCCTGGCTGTCCTGAATTTCCCTTTGTAGATTAGGCTGGTCTCAAACTCACAGAAATCCACCTGCTTCACTATATAGCCCAGGCTATCTGTAAACACACCATTCTCTCGTCTCCATCTCACAAGTGCTAGGACTACGAGTGTACACCACCATGCCTAATTCAAGACAGTAAATTTTTAAAAGTTGGTTGTGGTGGCTCATTCCTTCCAAAGGTTCACATGACTGTTTGATCCCCAGTTGATGGAACTGTTTGGGAAGGATGAGGAGGCTTGGAGGAGTTGTGTCACTAGGGGTGGGCCCAGGGTCTTTCTTTGTCTGGTAGCTGTCCCTGAATCAGGACAGAACGCTCAATGATGGCTCCATCACACACCTCTCTGCTTCCCACCGATCATGGACTAACCCACTGAAGCTGTAAGCAAATACCCAGTTAGATGCTTTGTTCTGCCAGGCTGTTGTGGCACACAACTTTAATTCTAGCACTCTGTGTTCGAGGCCAGCCTGGGCTACAGGGATAGTTTCAGGATGGCCAGGACTACGCAGAGAAACCTGGGAAACAAACAAAAAATGTTTTCTTCTGTAAGTAGCCTCACATAGGATCTCCTCACAGCAAATAAAACAACAACTAAAACAAGTTCACTAGAAACATTGCTCTCTAGAGCGTCCCAATAGGAAAGAAAGGATGAAAAAGAAGGAATGATTTGAGAGCCTACAAGAAACATAAAGGATGCTAAGGTCATATTGTATATAGATCTTACCTCTCCTGCAACAAAAACAAGATTTGTTAACACTCGTGGTCAGGAGACCAGTCCTAGCAGTCTTTCCTCTCTTTTTCCATATAAAACCCAAGCCTGACAGAGTATGGTGTGTCTCACCTAAGAATAGGATTACCACGAGTTCGAGGCCAACCTGGGCTATAGAGGAAATCCCTATTCCAAGAACATATAATTTAATTTAATTATAGTCTGGAGTCCTTAATCTCAGCACTCAGAAGGCAGAGGCAAGCGGATCTCTGAGTTTGAGGCCGGCCTGGTCTACAGAGTGAGAGAGTGAGTTCCAGGACAGTCAGAAATACAGAGAAAAGAGAAATCCTGCCTCAAACAGAGAGAGGGAGAGAGAGGGGGAGAGAGAGAGAGAGAGAGACCAACCAAGCTTGGATGCTTGTGAAGGAAAGGAGGAATCCATGGTGCTACATAACTAGAAAAGAGTTAAAACTAGGTCCAGGTGGCCTTCTAGTCTGTATGCCCCCTAGGTGTGTGCAGCGGGGGAACTACACTACCCAGGATGCAACTGGACAAGAGCCGCCGGACTTTCCGTCCGGACTAGCGCCCCGCAGGGAGTTTCATTGACTTCCGAGCCCCCTTCTCATTTCTGCCACCTCCCAACTTTTCAGGCGGAGCTCGGTCTGAGAGAGGGAGTGGCTTCGAGGAGGCCCGCGAGAGTCTTCCTCTTTTCCTTCTTATTGGTCCAGCTCAGCTGTCATTCGGGAGCGAGGGGAAGTTTGCTTCCTGATTGGTGAATTCCGTTTGGCGCCAAGTAGGAAAGGGGCGGGGCGGCGGCGTTCCTAGTTGTGCAGCAATTAACGCTAAGGCCACTTTGGTGGTGACGGTGGTGAGGGTCTCTTCTCTGCTCTTCGGGGGACGGAGCAAGGAGGGAGAGAAAAAGTGAGACTAGTTACTCCGGGCGGTCGCCTCGAGACTCTCGGCCCGCGGAGTTTGTTTGGATTTAATCTTGAGGTTGCAGGCGCGGGCCTCGCGGGGCCAAGAGGGAAGCACCGGTGCCTGTGGCCGGCGCCTGCCGAGTCCCCGACGCTCGCCAGTCCGCGCCGCTGCCCGTGGCGGTCGCGTCTCGGAACCGCGGG